CAGGAGATGTGACTGAAAAGCCAAAACATGCATCAAGTATCAAGAAATGCTTCCTGAACATGAATTATTATAATCTGTGGAATAATTTCCCCAGCGGAGCAACAAGGAGCTTTTACTTGTGGCTTTTAACTGCAGAACTGAATAATCCCTCAGGAAACATACGTGCTACAGTTTGACTGTCCACAACTGGAACGGTGTGGACCCTCTCTAATCTCTCCCAGCTTAGCTGAGCAGGATGCAGCCTGCATCTCTGCTTTCTCCACAGAGATGAATTTGGCATAGGAGAAATGACTGTATTTGTAAACATGCTACATTCTTATTTGTGTTTCTCTCTGTGCTGTTTGCTATGTTGGCATTCATCAAACTGAAATAAACAATAGCTGCTGTTACAGAAGTACTTTTATTACTTGATGGCTGTGGTGAAATTCTCAGCACCTGTCTTACCACTGTGTGCAGATAACAAATCAGCACCTGATATGCACAGAGTGCTTTCAGTGGCTCAGTTGGCTTTCTTGATGAGATATATTCAAGATAAATATTAGATGCCAGTGCAACTTTCTTCTTTTAAAGGTGAAAAAAACCTGACTATTCTGGTTATATCAGAAAGCTCATGGCTGGCTAACAACACCAGAGAACTGATATAAGCATGGCAAGGTGTGGAGTCTGCTACAGACCATTATCTGGGGAGACATAACACCATGGCACGTGTCATGCAGCAGCTACAAAAGTTTAAATCTTGCAGCTCCCTTAGCTAGATCTATCTCCCAAAGTTAGATTAATTGTGAGTCTTTCATCTTCAGGCATCTCTGAAAGGCCTTATCTTTATCTCTGCTTTCAGAGGTCCATAAATTTCTTTGTGTTCAAAGGCTCCATCCCTTCCCCCAACCCCTTTCTAGTTCAGACATCCTCAAACTCCAGCATGATGGTCAAGTCTCTCTGTATTTAATACCCTTAAATTATCTCCCCTCTTTGTACTTCCTTCCATGATTTTCACCAGCTTCCTTACAGTACTGCACCTGCTCAGCACATCTTTGCTGAACCCTTCTGCTGGAAACTTCCCTGCTACCACAAACTTTCCCATCATGGGTGCCAATACTGCTGCTTTCATTATCCCTGCTACATCCTGCTGGTCACCTGCCTGTGAGCTGCTCAGCTCAGAATGCACCTAGCTTCTGGAAAACCCAGCTGTCGCCAGGCTGACTGTGAGCGATTTATCCAGATGGTTCCCAAGCCACCCTGGTACTAAAAAACATAAAAGATTTAAAGTGAGTTTTTAAAAAACAAAGTTCATTTTAATGCTTTTGCTTTTTCTGTGGACACCTTCCTCACCTCTCTAGAGGCAGCTCTGTAAGCTGCTGGCAGTGGTTATGCTTAGTCTTCGTGGGAAAAGGTAGTGTGAAATACATTCATCTTTCACACTTGCTTTCTGCCAAGTAAGGGGATTTAAATCACTAAACTAAAATGGATTTAGCTTATAACCAGGCAGCTATGTTTTTCAGTATTGTTTTCATACATATTGTTATATATCAGATATACCTGTACACTAGGTTACCATAATTATGCACTATACCCATTTCAAAATTAGTTCCAGCTAGTTAGCTTCTCTGCAAGACAATTCACACTGCCAATTGAGAATTCAACCTCGTTCGATGATGGATTCGTATAAACAGCAAAATCCATTATTTATACACTGTAGGAAAATAAACTCTGGCTGGCCGGGTATATGAAGCATGTGAAGGGTTTTCATTTTAGATGGTTGGAATTTTAAACTCAAGCAGCTTTTAATCAACATACCATTGAAAACAAATTTCAGCAATCACATTTCTTATTCAGCAGCAGTACAATGTAACTGAAAATAGAATCTCCAAAAGCTTTATGGGCTATTACTCAACATGTGCTTATAATAAATTAGAAGTAAATAGCATTTATTGTGTAACAAGAAAAGCAAGAAAAGATGACCAATTTCAATAAGCTGGCAGGGTTGAGAAGATGGCTATTTCTGCCCTACTGGTCTGAAATAATTTCTATAATTCAAACATTTACATGTATCATTGTTCTCTATTATTACCAAGTCACAGTAGCATCTAGACACTCGAGATCCATCATATTAAAATAGTTTTTCAAAAGCTAATGCCAGTCATCTAGTTTATGAAGTAGGCACCACAAGACTTTAACTATTAATGTAGACATCAGAATAAAAATTCACTGACACAGAGAGGAGTTCCTTCTCTTAAATCTGGGGGAAAAAAAAAAAAGAGACAAGCTGTTTTTATTTATGGCTCTGAAGATTTTCATATTCTTTATGTTCTAGGTGAAGACAGCCATGAAGCACACACATCCTACAGAATGACTGTGATATGGACTACAGTTCTTCACACTGACAGTATGAGAAGAAAGAAGAAACAGTGATGAATTCACCCTGCATATTAAGGATCTCTACCACCTCCCCCCCATTAACCCCTGCCTTACATCCTCATCCTGCACCTCTGGAAGCTCATTTGTTAGTGCAGTATCATGGGTTCTCTTTAGTGACTCAACTCAGGGTGCTGGTTGGAGGCAGCTGGGTGCTCCCTCCATATAACATGTGTCCCAGCCCAGGCTGAGGGAGCAAAACCTGCTCCCTCTGGACTCTGTATCCATGCAAGCAGAATGACAAAACATTTGTTGTAAAAGTTTGCGAAGAATTGCTGCAGTTTTTTGGAGTCTGATAAGACTGTGAATGGGAACAAAAAGCCTCACTGACACAGCACAAGAATTAATCATCTTGAATCATAATAATTTGTCATAGGAAAAAAAAAAAAAAACACTGAGATCAAAGGCAATTTTACAGGAGTGATTATTCTGACAGATGTGGCATGTGGAGCTGTGGGTATTACAGCACGCAGCATGGAAGTGCCAGCCTATGGGAAATGTGCATGCTGCTATCAGAAGGGCATGCACTAGAAAGTAAAACATTCAGATGAATTTTTCAGCCAAGTGGTAGACATTATTGCAGCCGATGGCAAGTGTTTACCTGACAGAAAAGCAGTATGTGCTACTTCATGTTGGACAGTGATGCCCAAACCAATGCAGTACGAGAATCTTAAGTCATTCACAATGACAGAAAAGCCAAAGGAAAAAGACAGAAGCCCATTACTCGGTATAACTATGTTCTACAGCTTCCTCAGGAGAATGTCTTCATCAGGGAAGCAAAGGAGAAAAAAAGCTTAAGAAAAATCTCAGAATTTTCCATAGCATAGTGACAAATTGCACCTTTTCCAGTTTGTTAGCTATTATATATATCTCCGGTAGGGAAAGGATCAGTGGTACATATTTATCTTTCTCCACTTACCCTAGGATGAAAGTCTGTAGAAAAGTACATGTGCCTTCTAGCACAGAGTGGCTGGTGCTGTATATTCCCTGCATCTGTTGCCAGTATAGAGGAAAAAATTATATGGGATTTTGTTTAAAAGGAATGAAAAGATTATTTACCCTATGCTGAATAAAAATACTGAGAAGAACATGGGATGGTTAGCTAGGCATGGATAAACACTCGAGAAAGGTATGAAGATATTCTGCATTGCCTGAAAATGGAAGGCGACATGGGAAAATCTAAGACTCTTCACAGGTGCCAAAATGAAACTACATCAAGCAAAAACCTCAGAAGACAAAGGTTCCTCAAAAGCAAAGCAGGCTTTGCTTTACATAAGCTTGAAAAACAAAACCACGTACCCTACGCTATTTTTCTTTCTTTGCTGAGCTACCCTAAATAGAAGATATTACAGATGAGAGTATGTATCAAAAGCACTGGATAAGTTGGGATGCAGCTGACATAACTGTAAGTGACAGCGACATTATTTAGTTTAAGTAGTTTGCAGTTAAGTATAGACTTAGACATAATCTTGCCAATGGAACAGTTCCCACCCTAATATGCGAGTAAGAAATGGTGCCAGATTAATAAAGAGTTTATTGAAGAGAAGCCAGAGCCAGAGCCTGATCCACATTTAGAACAACTGAGTTCGAGAGCAGCATCAGTGATGCATGGAGCTGTCACCTGAGGACGTTTTTTCCTATGGAAAACTGAAATTCAGAATAGCTGCATTATTAGACACCGGAGACTTGTAGAAATAGAGGGTGAGACAGCAAGGCAAACTCCTCAGTTAAACTCACTGTTCTCAAACCCATTTCCTCTGAGAATAAGGGTCAGAGCCGATACCAAACTTCACGGGGATTTTGAGCCTGCGGGCAGTTACAAATGTGTGATTTTAAGAGCAACTGCTGCGTAAGTAATCCCGTCATGTTTTTTCTGCAGCATGCACTCCGTGCCCAGTGCAGACCATCAGCACATACTGATGGTAATCCCATCCCGGTCCATTCTTTTGACTTCAGCACGTGTGAAAGATGCAGGGATTTTCTTTCTGTTACGGAAATAGGGTCGGTCACATCTGTAATGCCAACTTGTAGCACACACCGCCTCAGGGCTCCCTCAGCTATGGCACTGATGCAAAAACTTGTCTTGCAGTACAAGAGCGGTCGTGCACTCAGTGCTGCTTTAACACAGCAGGTCGGTATTTCTGAAGCGTGATTTCAGAGGGACTTTTACATGTTATACACAGTTCACCGGAAGATGAAGAAAATAGTGTGACATTGTCTTGATCATAAGTATTTTTATTTCATGGAATATCCAACTGCAAACACATTTTTGGCAGACAAAATATGCAAAATCTAAGCAGATACAGGAAAATACCCCAAACGGTAACGGTGGTCGGCTTTCATAGCCTCTGCCACAGAGTACCGAAATTCACGCCACGGGAGCCCCGGTCGCCAGCTCAGCAGAAGGCGGATTGGACAGAAGCCGTTCCGGCCCGAAGGGAGGTTTTGCTTTCACTGAAAAGCAAAACGCCTCTGCAGACGCCGAGGCCGCGGCGCCTCGCGCCATGCCCGCAGCCAGGCGGCCGTTGCGCCGCGCCGCCGCTGGGTGTCGCCCACGGTGGGGCCGCGGCGCGGAGGCGGGGCGCGCGGCGCTGCACAAAAGGAGCGGCGCCGTCGTTACAGCCGTCGCCATCTTGGCTTGCCCCCTCCCTCGGAGTGGGGCGGGGGATGCTGCCGCCCTAAGGCGAGGTTTAACCCTCGGGGGACCGCCGTCCGTCAGGATGCGTCTTGTCCTTTAACGGCGCGCACGGCGGTGTAGCGACGCCGTCACGGGCAGGGCGGGCGGCTGACCGAAAGCCTTGCCCACGGGTTTGCACGCGAGGAGGAGCCGTGCAACGGCGGTGGCGAGCGGGGCTGCGCGGTTCGAAGAGCAGTTGGTACCGCAAAGGAATGCAGCGTGCAGAGCGTGCTTCAGGCTTTGCGAGCAACTGATATAATTTGCTGGAAAATTGAATTTGGGGGCACAGAGAAAATCAAATCAGGGACAGAAAAGTGATAAGAATGCTGAGCAAGGGCTTGTCTTAGGAATCACAGATGAAGACTGATTTTGCAGCTGTAGGAGTGGCAGGGTGCTCCCAGCTGCCTGGAAACCAAAATCAAGGGATGAGGTACTGGAAGGCACAAATACCCAGTTGCCCTTGTTTTCTTTTCTGGAAACCAGGAGTCCACACTGGGGATATCAGCACGCCACCCTGGTCCTTTCACAGAGCTCACACGTTGCTGTGCATTACCCCAAGGCTGGCACCCAGGCTGCGTGTGGAAGGTGCCTCTGGTGCACAGGTGTGATGGCGTTGCCTGGTGCCCATCCCAGGAGCAGCCCTGTGGACCACGAGGCAAGGCACAGCAGGTTCAGGTTCACAGTGCCGTGTTTCATGTGGACTTCCATGTGGATATTTGGATGTTAAAAGGTAGACTCCATATAAAGTCAGTACAGAATCAGGTTTTTAATAGGAAAGCTGCTTAGCCTCTGAGGTCCCGTCACTGTCTCTTTTTGAAATGTTCAGAATGATAGAACTGATAAGAAATGAACGCTTCAGGAATTTATCATATTCTGGAACATTTTTCAAGTGAAGTATTTTGTTAGAAATGATCATCTTTGAAAATGCCTTAAGAAAACTGATTATTTTTTTGCATGACATAATTCTGTATTGATTCTATATTCCACAGAATGCAGTATCATCTTAGTTGATTGCTGTATAGTAAAAGGGTGTAGTTTAGCTCAAGCAGCATTTTGGAGGCAGGCTGTTACCTTTCCTCCGTGGGATTTTTCCTTAGGATGCTGCCTCCCTTAGAGGCCAGAAATAGGAGCTCTGCTTGCACTTGCATCCTCCTCCTTCCACAAACTGAGGAGGAGGGGAATAGAGTGCAGCCCTGGTTTGTGCTCTGGAAGGTCTTTGCCCAGCCACAGCTGTCACCAGCCAGGTGCCACGAGTCTGTGATGCCTTACCAGGAAATAGTGGTGGTGTGATAATATGAAATATGATGCTTTCCTCTTCTGCCTGTTTCCTTGCCTACCTAGTCCATGAACTTTCCAAAATAGCTGACTACAGCCCTTCATCTCACAGGGAGAAAAGTCTTATATCTCTCTAATAACATTAGACATCTAAAGGGGGCTGGGAATCCTCTTGGGAGTGAAGGGAACTCATCATAGTAAACTGCTGTTAAATTTGGCTTTAAAATTTTGTAGTTCAGCTGACAAATCTACAGTTGTCAATGCCGGCAGCACTGATACAAGAAGTACTGGTAATCTTTGAGAAGACATCTAACAATAGCAATACAGACAGACTGGGAGCCAGTTGTGTTCTGTTTTGTCCTCCTCGTACACTGGCACATGCCCTCAGTAGTGAGCTGCTCAGGCAACAAATCACTGACAGGTGTGCAACGACAAGCTTGTCTAGGCAGGCTTAAATCATCCCTGGCGGTTGCACCTGTGTACTTACGGTCAGTACCAGCATCAATTTGCTAGAATTTAGCTCGGATACCCACTAGTTGAAAATATCTTTAGAAACAAGCAAGCCAGTATGTTCAACTGGAGTTGTTTGCTGCTGGCCTGCTAACTTTCTGTAAAAGGTGTGGGCAGACAGGTGTAACAGGCTATGGGGAAACATCAAATGAGTACCAGAAGGAACCTGTGAATACATTATTTTTCCTTTGTTTTTATGTTTTGTTTAAACTGCCACATGTAACAGCTTTGGTGATTTCCATGTTTTAAGAATGAGCAATGGATGTTCTAAACCCTGCTGCAGAAAAAGTGTTGGAGTCTCAAAAATTGCTGTGTGCATTTTGTGTCACCGCCCAATGCCAGCAAAGACATAAAGAGCAAAGGAGTATCTTGCAGCTGCTACAAGATGAGACTTACTGAAGCCAATCCCTCCTTCAAGAATCTGTATCTGTTTCTCTACGTGGCAGATTAGATGTGAGTTCAACGGAAAACTGTTCTTCTTTAGAGAGTTAATTCTGTCGTCGTCTGTGAATTTATGCATCGAATAAATAAAACATGAACAGCAGCAATGTGATCATTCACCCGAGATGCGTCCAGCCTAAATCAAAGTAAACTGTGGCAGGTAGGATGGTTTTCCTGTACTTCTGCTAACCCAGCCAGTACAATGGTACTGGTGACAGAAGGCTTTAAGCAAGATAATATCTGCCAGTTTTATATGGGTGACAGTCAGATGATAATACATTCAGGCTGCTGAACTGAATTTGTACAGGCAAATGAGATTCCTTTGCCTGTTAACCTGCAGTTGTAGCCATTGTCCTGGGCACAGTTGTTCTAAATAAAATCACAGGTGTCAAAGTCTTCCTCTGCTTTGCTCTTAGTAGCAGAACACAGCTTGTGGCAGCTGAGTTTCTGGTGCTTTCAAGCTGATTTTGAGGGCCATATAAAAATAAGTTGTTTGTTTAACCCAAAGTAAGCAGAGAAGGAAGTCTTTCACACAAATGGTAAAGATCCTCAATTCAGGCCCTTTAATGTAGCAGAAAAGAGTCATAAAAGTCTCAGTTTTGCAGTAAAAGGATTCCTTTGATGTAGAGAATGTGGAATAAGCTTTGTAGATATCTTCTAAACTCCAGTACAAGGTACGTGTGCTGAGGAGCACGTGTTCTAGATGGAGACGCTGTGGAGCGCAGGCAGCATCATGGCCCCTCAGAGGAAGGACTGTGGGGAGGACACTTGTGGTGTTTAGTTTAGCCTCTCCATGACTAACGTAAGATAGCAGACCTGGTAGAGACTTGATAATAACAGACTGTGTACAATGGGGAATTTTGTTAAGGCACCTTACACTTAATTTTTTAATCTCAATAACTTCGTATATTTTATGAAAAGATAGCGAAGTTCCTGCAGCACTTGCAGTTCATTCATGCGGAAACCTTTTCAGTATCAAAAGTAGACTTCAAACGAGCTTGTTTTCCCATTTATTCAGTTTGTATTCAGTGCAACTATTCTGGACTTCTTATAATCTTTTTTTTTTTCCTGTGTTCTCATCTGCTAGTTCCATGTTTCAAGTAAATGGAGTGTTGTTTGTGTGTTGTTTTGGAGAAGTTTTTTTTTCCAAAATTTAGAATGTGCATATCTTTTCTTAATCCCACAGGTAAAATCCAGCCTTTCATTTCTGTTGGAATGCAGCTGGCCAACCTCTCTTATCCTCTGAGCCACCTTAGAGGGTAAAGGGGCTGTGAACTTTGCAGAGGCTCACAAGTGGCACCTGACATCCCATCAGTCTGCTGCAAGGTAGGATTCACCTGGGCTGGACCGGGTTGGAAGCTGAATCCTTAAATAGCCCAGAAATGTTGGGATTCGCTGCCCCACTTCCTGCCTCCCATTTCTTGGGGTTCAGATTAATCAGTATCTCTGTAGAAGAACAGGGGTACCTTGGTTACGTGTCATACCCCTAATGTGAAATAGCTTCCAGGCCAAGAAAGACAGACCTTAGGGGACTATGGCCCTATCTATGGTAGTGATGTGTTTTTGAAAGCTTTTACTTTCAATAACAAACCTGTTCAAGTTCTAAATTGTCTATCAGACTGAACTAGTACAGTTCAGCTTCTAGAAAGAGGTAGCTGCTGAAGCATGTATTTTCCACTTACAGAAGGCTCCAGCTTCAAACATGATGATGCTTTTCTGTCATCTGCTTCTTCAGCAATGGAATATTCCACGGAAATAACTTGATGTGTGTGAATTTCCATTAAAGCATATTACTGCTGTGCACAAACATTTTTACTGAATTAGTCAGCCCTGTTCCATATAAGTGGTATAGAGGCAGTCCTGGTTATAGGAAGGGATCCTTTAAAAAGGAACAATGACAGATGTAACCATTTAAGTGTAGTAGGGAATGCTGTGTAAAAAATCATTTGCATTTCTGCCCCACAGTAATGCCCTCATTTCTAGAATCTGCAAGACAGCAGAATAAGTGGCACAAAGCATCAAACTCTTTTTTTACTATCTTACAAAATGTTCTGCATTGTGCCAGTGGCGGAAAGGACAAGAGGAAAAAATACTTCTATCAGGCTGCATGCAAAAGCTTTGTGATATATTTAGAAACAAGCAAATGACAGAAAAATGCAGAATGTAGTTGAGGTCGCTTATTAACACTTTGTCTGAGTGCAGAATAAGGAAAAATGCAAGATTCTGCAGTGAATACATGAATATTTAACAAATCTGAATGAAGATAAATTGAGGAAATCTTTCAATAAAGACAAACAAATACATCTTTATTCTTTATAACATAGGCAATAGCTTTGCATTTCACATGGCCAGCTATGCTTTATGTAATAGGGTGAATATGTATTGCTAACTGTGTGGGTACTGTTGAATTGAGAAAATACGTTTTTAAATTTCCATAATGGAGGAAGGCAGCATGTCTGAGGTTACTAGCATTTTAGATTATTATTACTGAAGATATTTTTTACATCATTAGTTTTTAATATAGATGCTCCTTGCTTCTGTCTTACAATTCACTGTGGATGGGAGACTGAAGATACAGCACTTGATTGTACAGAATGTAGTTCTGCTAGAACTAAGCAGATATTTCATGAATTTTTACACATATCTGATAGAAGCAGTTTTTGACATTTTTGTTTAAACATCCATAAATTCCAGTCTTTCTCCATGTAAGACAAAAGCAACAAAATCAGCATATGATTTTTTTTTAATTTGGGCAAATAAATTTTATTTCTGTACTGGCGTTTGTCAAGAGAAAGTGAACTTATCTAACAGTCTTTAGCAAGGATCTGAGTGCATTTCTTCACCTCTCCTTTAAATTTCCACACAGATACAGCATGGGCTTGCTTATTTTCTTTTTTTCCAAAGGAGAGGAGCGTGTAGGGAAGAGGTGCTATTACATAAAACTGCTGTATAAAGTTTGTCCACTAGGTGGTCCTTAAAGACATATTTAAGGAGGTTGGTTCATGTTTTCGTCCTATGTATGAAGTCCTTTTTAAAGCAGGTAATTCAGTTAACAGTGTAGCAGGGCAGCTTAGGGAAGCAAATCCCTATCTACGTGAAGAAATCCTCATTTGCAGCTCACATACTCTGTTCATATTCTGGGGACGCTAAACACTTGGAAATAACAAGTTTCATTGGCAATGGGGTGATGCAGGGAAAGGAAAAAAAAAAACACCATAGTCAAAAATAGACAAAATGACAATGCACAGCACTGACAGGAATATAACTAAATATTTGCATTCCTAGCACAATGCTTTTATTTTGAGACTACTGGAGATGAGATCTGGGAATCTTCTGTGTGCCAAAGTCTTCCTGTACAATATGGAGCTCCATCAAAATTCAGCTGATGTGAAACTGCTCTGAGGTATGTGCAACAAAGGGCTTCTCTAGACAGCTGCATCACACAGAGCCACTTGTTTTGTTGCTTGTACTAGCTATTTCCAACCTGGAAGGAAGCATCTTCACTATAGATGGCATGTGCAAATGAAGGAAACCCCTTACAATTATGTTGTGAAATGAAATATGTAGTGGATAACATCCACTACAGAAAAAATGAGATGCATCAAGGGCAATAAAAAAATTTCACACCATTCTGAACTTCAGGTATGACAAAATTGAAAGAAAAAGTGTAGCAATTTACACCCATTGAACAGGCAATGATCATGAGAACGAAGTAAAAATATTTATATCCATCTCTCATACATGCCAAATGCTCTTATAATTAAATCTAATTATACAGTAGACACATTTTCCAACAGTTCTGTAAATAAATGTTAGAAATTAAAGTTTTCAAACACATTTTTTAAAGTTATATTCTTATATTTTATGATAAAAAGGGAAACCATGAGTCCGTGAAATAGGTCTGCAGTCATTATGTTCCTTTTTTATTATATTGCTGTAATTTTTTTAGTGTGGTAATGGTAAATTTCTAAATAGATTGTACTAAGTTCCATATCCATTGTTGACTTACTTCTGATTTCAGTTGTGTGAAGTATGATTCTATTAGTCATTATCGATTCATATAAAACGTAGCATGATCTCTTTCTTAATGAAAGGAAAAATAAGAACAAAGTTATAGAATGTAATGAGGTTTAGAAATGAGGTTGCTTCATTTTGTAGCAGTTCTGCTGAAAATTTTGCCAAGATTGGCAGTTCTAAGTTGTGTATTGCTTGCAGTACAAACCATGCCTAACCAAAACTGTGGAAAGGCAGGTGTATGGGAACCCTTAGGTCACAGCCTGAACCAGTGATTGAGCACCTGGTGAAGGGGTGTGGCCAGCCCTGGGAGCACAGGTGCAAGCAATTCATCTGTGCAACCCTGAGTCCACCCCTCCCTAAGCTCATTTAAGGGATGGCAGCCCTAGAGCTCACCTGTTTTGAGAGTTTCCAGGGAACCCCGATTGTCAGAAAAGGTAAGCTACTCCTTATTTTTTACCAATTGTGACCGCTGTCTTTTTTGGGGAAGCTGGAACTGGTTAAAGGCAACTGTATTCGCTACCTTTTGTCCTTGCAGCTAGTGACTTGGTATTCCTAACCTTTTGTGAGCAGGGCTTCTTGCTGTGAACCAGTAAATTTACTTAGGTAGTAGAAGAAAGTTACTCTTGTAATAGGGAAATGGATACATCATACAGAGAGTAAGAGTGGGGATATGTTTTTCTTACTACTGCTTCTGATATCAACTGAGCTAAAAAGTTGAGTGTAGTTGTTGTAGTATTTTCCCCGAATGCTTCTCAAAGAGAGATCACCACTTGCTCTAATGATCTTTTGATAGTCCATGCTAGTTAAGTGATAGACTTCCAGTATTCAATACAAGTGTTTTTGGAGGCAAGGCAAGCTACACCATCCTGTGGGTGAAGTTTAGGTTGGAAGAATTATTTAAATTGGCATTGAGTCAAGACTCAAGCTTGCACAGGGCTTATAGGAGATATCTACTTATGCAACTTGACTTCTTGAAGGAAAACTGATAAGCACTTAGCAAAAGAACTAGAAAGGTAAATCCAACAGAATCACTTTCAATTTTTGATATTCTCGTACAACATATTCAAAGTAAAAGACACATAGGAAATAAATAACACTTTTCCACTTTCTTCCCTGCAACAGAAGTGTTGCTTCCTGTTTATTTAAATCTTTATGTAGTAAAAACAAGGTGCAGCCTTTAATACAACAGCCTTCTTGCATTCAGCTTCTGAATGGAGAACTATCCTCCAACTCCAGCTTCTAATTTCCTCTTCCTGTCCCATATATAAAACAGCTGGGTGCGGTTGTCTGATGAGACCAGCTCCCTTGGTCTCACAGACTGTTTACCCCTTCCTGCCTCTCATTTGAGTTTCACTGGGTGTAGGGAGCAAGGAGTGAGGTGAATAATTTTGGTCTGGTTTTGCATGGCTGTTTTAATCCTGACATTTAGAAGTCTCTTAGAAACCAAGAGAGTAATGTGTTCATTCTATCAGAAAAACTGAAAAGAAGAGACAGAGAGGAGGAGCAACTTGAGATGTATGTAGGGAGAAACCTCTGAGCCAAAGCTAGAAGAGGGGGCTTTGTAACTTACTTCATCTTACCACAAGGGAAAGCTATTTTAGGTAAACAAGTTACAGAAACTGTAATCTAGTTATGGTACAGAGGTGTCCCACAGAAAACTAGGGAAAAGAATTTGAGCGTCTGTCTAAAGGATCAGTTAAAGAAATAAGGCAATTGAGTTGAGGCAGTATTAATGAAAGTATGAGACAGTAAGTATTTGAGCATATGCTGTGAAGTGTTTAAGAATAACACACAGAATGCATGAAAATGAAATGACTGTGAGATATGTCTAGGAATCATTTGAAGTACTAATGACAGCATCTTTATTGAACGTGAAGGGAGGAGGTAAGATTGGAGAGGATTTTAAGTGGAAGCAGTGTCAAAAAATTACATTGTGGTGTTAATACCACAGATTGAGCTTAGAGATGAAAGGAGAAGTTAACTGTTGTGTTCCTGTGTGGAGTTCTTAGTATTTTTCTGAGTTGGTTGTTCTCCATTTTGTTTTTTGGGGATTGTTTGATTGGATGGTCTGTTATTGGATTTTTTGTTTTCTTTTTAGGACAAAGGTTTCTCTGTATTTTCTTTAGAAAAGAGTTTAAGGGAAAAAAATGTGCAGGAACCTGTGGGGAAATCTCAGGAAAAGAAATAGGAGGAGATCATGGAGTGGTTGGAGGAAAACTTGTGTTCTCTGGGTACTAAATGGAAGAGACCTGGGGAGAAATCACTGAAAGTGAAGTAGTGAACAGATAAGAGGAAGATCGAGTCATGCTCTATCAAGCCTCTTCTGAAAGACTGATACAGTCTTGTGCAGTGCAAAGGGCCGTAGAGACAGAGGAGAATCTGAGTTTTGGTCACTGAAGTTTGCAGTCAGTCAACTTATTTCTGCTGGGGGGAAGTGTTCTGCTGGGAGAAGACCAAGAGAGGAGAATAGGTTTTAGGTGGGGAAAGCCATTCTGGCCACAGGCTCTTGCCAGAGACATTCCTGAACACTAGAGTAGGGGTGGAGGAAGCAGATGTTTGAAGGACTTGGCAAAATGGACAAAAATGTTGAGGCACAGAAGAGCTGAGAGGGGGAAGGAGTGAGCAGCGTGCAGTGAGAATCCTCCTCAGTTTGAGGGGTCCTGAGAGCCGATCCAAAACTGCCTGCCCTTTGCTGATCCAAGGCAGGTCTTGCTCTTGAGAAATGTCCTTTAGGAAAAGAAGCAACGTATGTCCAAATGTAACAAAGCAACTTAGCATTTGTCTGGAAAAACAATCAGAAGGATAATCTTATAACTGTCATTGCAACCAATTTCATTAACAGCAAAGAGAGCCACGTTGGGGTGTTTGGGGAGAGAAGGAATCCAGAGAATGCTGTTTGAGTCCTCTGCTTCTCAGCAGCCTCCCATTGCGGAGCGTTGCCAGCTGAGCAGGGGGAAAAAGACAAGGGAGCTCTGGCAGCTTCAGACAGTGCAGTTAGGTAGAATTGAGCAAGGACTTAAAACCAAAAGCAAGAGCACCCAGTAGTCAGTAAGTTATTTTTCTCACCTTGTCAAGTGTCCTGCTGGTCCTCGTTATGGAGAATGCTGAATAACCATGGCTGCAGCTGATTAGCTTGCCTCTACAAAATAAGAGAAGAACTGTTCTTCACTTTTTTTCCTGTTTCACAATGTGATGGTATTCCTCAGCAACATGTTTCCCATCAAACATGGATCCCCATTTTATGAACTCTTCCTCATTTTAGTAAAAGAATCATGATTTGGCAAGATTTTCTAGCGCAGAAGTTAGATCTGGCAAGTACATCTGTAAACATTCAGCTCTGTTTGACTCAAGGGAATTCCATCTGTGGATGTTACATGTAGGAGTCAGATGCTGAGATGGGGCAGGATATTCTCAGCACCTATTTATAGAGGAATGTATAAAGTTCTATAAACCCTGCCACGTGTGACCAAAGCCACATGACTCAAATATTGGATATACAAATACATTCACATGCAAACAGCTTAAAAACTAGTATAATTGAACTTAAAGGCACCTTCACAAAATATATTGAGTCCCTTGTCATTTCACATTTCATCCAGTACGGACAGGCCACCTTATCCCTCATGTTGCTGGACTTTAGCCAAACATACTGCCACACATGAAAGGATAATGCTCTTCTAAGGAGAGCAGCCTTTTGTGTATTCACTGTGTAGTCTTTAAGACACGCAAACCAAAATAATGAAAGACATCTTAAACTTTTTCATGTGAGGATCCAGTGTGTCATACAAATATCTTATTCTGTCATCCTATGTTATACTTCTTAATTTTCAGTCCCAAATATCCTTTGTTACGTGTATGTTTTTGCTTAAAGATTATTTTTGGATAAAATAATGGCTTTGCTGAGCTGTGCTGCTCTTAGCATTTCTTTTTACAGAAGCAGTTCTAATAGCTGTGTGAGGATTGTAAATTCCTTTCTCTCTTTGTTCTGTGCTTTCCCCAAAAGTAGTACAATTTCTGTGGGGTCATAGTGGAGCTATGATAAAGCCTTGGTTTTGCTGCTTGAGAATGCTTCCAAGGGATACAACTGAAAGTCAAAGTCAGATTGAATAGGCAAGTGTCTGTTCTACTGACCTGTTCTGGTGGCTGTGATTTGTGAAGAAAATTGATAGAGCAAGTGCAGTGTTCTGTTATAATCCTAACCTGAAGTGATGACATTTAAGCTGTGTTGAGATGTGGTGTTGCAAACTCCTTTTCCCTCCTTGCAACCTCTCTCCAACGTTCATTCTCCTCCCTCAGCCCCCACCCTCTTCCTTCTTCGAGAGCCAGTTTCAAATTAAGGCGGGGGACTCACCAATGCCTGGCTGCTGGTGTCTGCTGTCAAAGTGC